GGACAACCAATTACACATCTAGTACGAAGTCACCTTTACTCAACTGGACAACCAACTACACATCTAGTATGAAGCCATCTTTACCCCACTGAACAACCAATTACACATCTAGTATGAAGCCGTCTTTACTCAACTGGACAAGCAATTACACATCTAGTACGAAGCCACCTTCACTCCACTGGACAACCAATTACACATCTAATATGAAGCCATCTTTATTCCACTGGACAACCAATTACACATCTAGTATGAGGCCACTTTTACCCCACTGAACAACCAATTACACATCTAGTACAAAGCCATCTTTACTCAACTGGACAACCAATTACACATCTAGTATGAGGCCAACTTTACTCCACTGGACAACCAACTACACATCTAGTATGAAACCATCTTTACTCAACTGGACAATCAAGCACACTTGTAGTACAAAGCTATATTTACTCCGCTAGACAATCAAGAACACGTCTAATGCGAAGGTCATCTTTATTCCAGTGGACAATTAAGAACATATCTACCCACGAAACAGTTTTTACTCCACTAAGCGATAATAAAAACGATGTTCATTCGATTGAACAATGGAAGCCTACCTAGTACAAATCCATCTTTACTCCACTGGACTGAGCCTGCTTGATGTTCAACCTCACATCTTAATTCAGCTGTCTGCCCTTCAGTAACAGACGTGTCTTCAGGTCGTGTCCTGAAATACTGCTGTTGGCTTCTTCCTGAATTGAAAGAGAAAGTTGTTTCCAGTTACACTACAAAAAGTAAAGTTATTTTTCAAGTTGTTTCTGAATTACGTTATCACAACTAAACAATTATTTACATATTGTTTAGGAATCATGTTACTACATGTACAACTGTTTTCACATTGATTATGAATTACGTTACCACAAGTACAATTATTTTCGTATTGTTTACGAATTACATTACCACAGGTAAAGTTTTTTCACATTGTTTATGAATTACATTACCACAAGTAAAGTTATTTTCGTATTGTTTACGAATTACATTACCACAGGTAAAGTTATTTTCGTATTGTTTATGAATTACATTACCACAGGTAAAGTTATTTTCACATTGTTTATGAATTACATTACCACAGGTAAAGTTATTTTTATATTGTTTATGAATTACATTACCACAGGTAAAGTTATTTTTATATTGAATAGGAATTACATTACCAAAGTAAAAATATCGCATAGAAATTCAATACTACTAGTATTCTATGATATGCGTATATTTATGGTTCTTGTTTAAACAGGTATAAAATAGCTGTAAAGTTTAGATTTATAAAGATTTAAACATTTATCCATGTTATCACAAAAACTCTTATTTAACATGAAATGTCTCATTAATAAATTAATAAAATTATCATTAATAAAATTACTTTGCAAATTCAAGAAATGAGAATTTTCGTTGCACATCTTGAAAACAATTACATTTTGACCTTCAAAGTAATAAACTGTTAGTGTGGAATTTAATTTGCCACGCCTACATATAACATCGAAGAGCGGAAGGACATCACAAATATAAAAATATGATGCCATTTTTTAGCCTTTCCTTATCTTTAGCTTTCTTATCTCTATAATTAATGCAACATTTTACAGAAGCTTTAGCACCGGCTCTCCTCCCTCCAAGTATGGAGTCCTGTCGCAGCACGTTTGTCAGTGCGCAGTTCAGGTAGTGTGACGCAGTCCGTAACTTTAAACCACCGACTACTGGAAAGCAACCAATGCTAACAACCTATGCTATTTTCTAAAATATTGTAGTTAGTTAGTTATTACTTTATTTAATTATACTTTTTTAGAATAAGTTTACAATGTAAATAAGAGGGGAATAAATACGATTTTAATAAAAAGAGTGGAAATCAATACTACTAATTGCTGCTCGATACTATAGCAAACAAACGCAAGCCAAGCCTATCGTCGACAGTTTGGTATTTAATTGTACGACCCAGTCTTAGTTCACTAATATATTCTCAAACTAACTGGAAGTTAATTGAATAGTTGATAAAAAAAAATTAAAACGAATATTAATTGGGCTTTAATTAAAAAAACAAAATTTCGAGAGATTAACTTACAACTTACAGCGCCCTCTACAATTAAAGCGAACGTAATTAATAAATTAATCCAAAAGTTTGAATAAAACTAGTCAAAGAAAGTAAATATTTGGTTTAGGAAAAACAGAAATTCATAAAACTTTATCATTCTTTTAATGAGAGCTAAAAATGATTTTTTAGACGAACATAATTAATATACCAAATTAGAACACACTATCTGTACTCCATATAAGGAAAACAGAAACTTTTTAATGATTTATTTTAACACCGATAGATGGGGCTTTTTATTACATGTTGTGACTGCATATCTATTATATTTAGTGGAAAATTTAACACTTCTAATTTTGAAACATCTTTTGTTTTTCTGGCTTTAGAGCAATTTTCTAATTAATAAAGGTTTTGTACTTTGGTAATTTAATGATTATTAGGTATTTGTAGCAGAATGAAATAAAAAATTATCTAATTCAATAAAATATGCATTTTACATTACGAATGATAATATTATTTCAGATTTATTAGTTAATTAATAATCAGTTATAATCATGGGTTAGTGAATATTGTTTTTGTCTACATAGACACAAAAATAATTTTCACCTTTTACATAAGTATTTGTTTGTTTGTTTATTTGTAGTTGAGCACAAAGCTACACAAGGACTATCTGTGCTCTGCCCACCACGGGTATCGAAACCCGGTTTGTAACGTTGTAAAGCCGCGGACATACCGCTGTGCCACTGGGGGTATTTACATAAGTAATAGAAGTGAAAATTTTCGTATTTGAATTCAAGGAAAAATTAAAATTATCACCAGAAATTAGAATCATTAGCCTGATTCACTAAGCTGTGATGAAAATTAAATATTTTCTCAATTTCCAATCTTTTTTTTTTCACTTAATCAGTCTTTATATCTTAATAGGTATACAAATAAAACTTTATGCTTGGATCGATACAAATTTAGATTTGGTAGAAACACAATTACTTAACACTGTTTTGATACATAGAAAAAAAAAATTATGTGATATTTCTTCTATCCTGATATGACCACTATATACAGAACAATACAACTGGCTTGGAATGACTTAAACTAAGGGTTTGTAAACTAGTACCCACTTCCCCCTCCCCTCCCCCAAAAAAGGTGTACATTTCCTGCTTCTACACGTACAATTAATGTTCAAACTAAAACAAACATAAAACCAGTAGATGTTACGGGTTATTAGCTTCGTTTATAGAATACAATCTGAAGTACCCGTCCTTATGAACTTTAACAAATTTGGGGTGGATGCTAACTTTTATATAATTCAATTGTAACATAACATATTATTGCAGTATTCATTATTACCTCCACAAACGTGTTGTATAAGCTTTAAGAACTCAATATATATACTTAAAACATGGTATACATTGTGTGATGGTCATGTGACTTTGTAGGAAGAGGTAGCGGCCAAACAGTAGCGGTAGGGGTGCTTTCTATTAGAAGCTTACAACACCCACCTCTTAATGCCCTTCACAGTATTTCACGTTATTAATTATATAACGGTCATTGGCCACAGAGGGGTCTTACAGTTCGAAGATGTGAGGTCATGGGTCAAAGTAGGAAATGGCTCTTCATATCAGTGACGGAGAAAGGACCCATCTCGGTTTCAGCATCGTTTGGATAAAGAACAGACAAGACATTTTACGGCTTGGTTGATTTCTTGATAATTTGGAAAGAAATCCAAATTTGGTGGCAACATCCTAATATGCATCAAGACCCTATTTCAATACAGTCACAAGTTGGTTGACAACAACGAAAAATACTTCTGTTTCAATACAGTAAGTAACAAGTTGGTTAACAACAACGCAGAATAGTCCTGTTTCAATACAGTAACAAGTTGGTTGACAACATCGAAAAATACTTCTGTTTCAATACAGTAACAAGTTAGTTAACAACGAAAAATACTTCTGTTTCAATACAGTAAGTAACAAG